AGTGAGGAACAAGGTGTAGAGATGATGGATGGATGTCTGAGGGTAAACCAGAATACTGGCTGACTAGATGACCATCAGTCTGCAGAAGCTGGACGAAGAGGAATATTCCAGCAGGAGAACCATCCAAAGGAAGAAAAAAGTGAAAAATATGACCTGGACAAGTAAATGTCCTGACTTGAATCCAGTGGAACCAATTTTGGGGTGTTTTAAAGAGAAACTTGGTGCAGCACAACCCTTCATCAAAAACAAAGGTTAACACACAGAGTACTAAAAAATTAAAGATTTAATCTCAGTCATGACTTGTGTTGCGTTAAGTTCCTACTCTGAGGTCTGTAATTGTATTATAGTAAATATAAACTGTTTAATTGGACATCAGAGCTGATACTGCTCAACCCACAAGTGTTGCGTCATGTTGACATTTACTCGTATGCTTTAAACTACAGGAATCTACCTGCGTGTGTCCGACTGCAGAGGAAGCAGAAATAAAGCTCACAATTTAGGCTTCGCGCATGCAAAACTGTCCCGGGATGCGTCCGGACGTCCAGAAGGGCAGAGGGAGGAGAACGTGTCTCCAGAGGGAGCTGCAGCCCTCCCCCATCTTGTAACCGTGTTCCTCTGACGGCGTCCTCCATTGTGGGTCATTATGGAGGACAACACGGTGCCAGATATACAATCTAACACCACTAGATAGCACTGTTAGCTCGAGCTGATTACCATCACTGCAGTGAAACGCACCACCACGCAGCAAGAAGGAGGAGGAGGAGGAGGCCTCGTGGCCCAAAACACCGAGAGGGTTCAGGACTAGTAGACATAAAATGCTTTTATTATTATGGATATAGAGGCAAAAAGTTGGAGCTGACATTCTATGGCATTGAAGTTATCACTGTTGTTTTTTTGTTTTTGTTTTCCAGATGCACATTATCGGAGGCAACAGGCAAAGGTTACATGTCATGCAAACTAGATAAATAACTCTTTATTTGTACCTTTGCTATAAAGTTAATCATCCACTGGCAATAATAATGTAGTGCTCTTAGTTTTAAAAAAGGAAAGAGGAAAAATATACATACAGTATGTAAACAGTCAAAGAAATTGCACTTTCTTGGCTTGTTATTAGAAGCCACACTACTGAAAGAGAGACAGAGAGAGAGAGCGAGAGAGAGAGAGAGAGAGAGAGAGAGAGAGAGAGAGCAGAAGTTTAACACTGGAAAAAACTAATTCACTGTCACTGATTGTCTGACCAAAAAACAAACTCAGCTAAAAAAAAAAAAAAAAAAANAAAAAAAAAAAAAAAAAAATGTAATTCTACAAAAAAAAAAAAAAAATCATATACAATCATAGTCAAGGAGAAATGTCTGATATATTGGTCAGCTGTATAATCTGTTAAAAACATCTTAGTAAAATGAGAGATTTGATTATTATCTGTTATGTATAACCAGGATAGTATTGTCATGTATGATACTGATTTTACACGCTACCGCTGATAGAAGGAAAACAGGTCTCTCTATGTACTGTACATTCACATGAAACTAAACGCTGGATTAGCCCGATGCTCCTAACATGATCTACTGATGCGTCTGTACAGAAAAAAAAACGACCTCCGATCCTCGAATATTCACAACTTAAAAAAAACCCAAACGTAACAAAAACAAAACCAAACAAAACAAAACAGGATATATAGTCCTTATCAGAGGAGATATTGCTTTTTAAAGACTGCATGAGTTCGCTTATACACAAGACGACATGGCACTTCTACAGAGCATTTGGGGCAAATCGATTCCCTTTTTTTTCCTCCTCTCTCTTCCTTTCTTTCTTCCTTCCTTCCCCCCCCCCAACCCGACCCGAGGACATTCTGATTGTCAATGCTCCGAAGCAAAGAGCGAAACATTCTCAAAGGCAGTCTGAGTAAACAAAAACACTTTGTACACCTCCGGAAGCAATACTGAAAATAGTCAACAATAAACATTCCTATATATTTCTTTAGCAGACGAGCTGTCTTCTTCTTTTTTTAATTTTTTTAAATTTTTCTTTCCTTGTCTCAAAAAAATAACTTCTTTCTTTTTTAAAACCTCATTAGAAATTCTCTTGCCGCGATGCCAAAATTCCTATCGCCGAGCCCGCCCCCCTCCCCTGCCTATTCACTGGTACATAGCAGACACTGTCTTGGTAAAAGTGAAGGGAAGAAAAAAAAAAAAACAACAACCCACTAACACTGTCTCAACAGCTTTTAACTGGCTCGCCTCTTCCTCCTCGTGCCATTTCCCAAAGGTGCAATGTGACTTTGAAAAGCTTAACAAGTAAAATGAGGGTTTGATTTTGACCTACTTAGGGCCCAGGCTACATTTCTCTCTCTCTTTTTTTTTTTTGTTCCCCCCGGGCAGCTCCTCGTCTTTCGGAGCCAAAACGCTGAGTACCATATATGTCCACTTTCAAATCTCTCCCCCCCCCCCCCGGTGCAATATCTGTCCTTTTTTTTCCCAAAATTTGCTTAAGGTGCCGAAGTAAGAGCGATCAACGTGTGTGTTTATAGTGTGTCCACTCAGTACAGTCTTTAGTGTGCTTGTTCATCCAGCACTAGTGCAAATTCATTTTCAGCTGGTCTGTTTCCTTTCCGTTCATCCGGGACAGTCAGATCTCCGTTTCACTCATCCTCTTTGCCGCCTGGACAAAAGATGTGCGTTGCCATGGTTTCATCCTTGGTGTGATGCCCTTCGGAGCGCGAGGTTCAACACACTCATCTGTCAGTGTGCGAGATGTCTTTCTTGCATTTTTCAGCTGCTATAATTCTGAAGCTCTCTCCTCCTTCCTTCCTCTTTTTCCTCCTCCCCCCCTCTGTGGCTCTGCTACCGTCGATAGCAGCGTTGTGACATCAGTTCGAGTCCGTCGGTCCAGTGGTGGGTCTGGTCCCTTCCTCAGAGCGCTGCCACAAACACAAAAACAACGTCAGCACAACAATGCACTGCCAAAAATGTTATT